CCCCTCGACTCGGGTTTTGACAGTGCGAGCCCAGGGTTGACTTTTTGAGAATTGGGTAAAAGTTGAGACTTTATTGTTTGGAATTGATTCCTTTAGGATTGTTTGATATTATTGAGTCAATTTCGGCTAGATTTGCACCGGACGAAGGTGAATTTTAAAGGAAAGTCATTTTTAGAGTGTTAAACTGGCTTGTTTGATATTGTCTTGCTATGAATTGCTATCAGCTCTTCATCCATCCTTTTTAGCCAAGGGTCTATCGGAATAGTCTCTCTGCCCTCCTAGGGTAGGGGTAAGTCTGTGTACATCCTACCCTCCGCAGACCCCACTTATGGGATTTCATTGGGTTGTTGTTATTGAATTGGATTGTTTGAGGTAAGTATCTTGTCTAAACTTGTGTGGGGGAATACCCCTTAGGATTTGGCCTTAATTGCTTATTTATGTTATGTGAAAAACGACGTGTCCACGAGGTGATGAGAGTGTACATGGGGCTATGTGTGACTTGTGACCGGATTAGATCTTTAGGCTATTAATATGCCTTAATTTAAGGATGTATTCTATATGGAACATGCTTATTCGCTTTGTGGCTACGTGAACGTGATTACTAAAATTGTATTACTCGTAGCAATGCTTAATGTGTTAAATACCCATTCGCATTTTACTATTTTCATGTCCTTGTGCACCGTATTGATATATTATGAGCTTATACTTTTGATGAGGGTTTGGTATTATTGTTTGTGATAATTGTAGCACAAGATCTTTACCATGCGATTGTATCTGTTATTGTGCGCGTGGGCGAAATAAAGGTGATGTTTTCTTGGATTGCCCACGTGGCGAAATAAGGGTGGTGATATGCGCATATCGCGAAATAAGGAGGGCATTTTATTGCTATGTGCACATGCGGCGAAATAAGGGTGACATTGTTGATGATGTTATCTGATGATTTGGGGGTGTCTTCAAGAGCGGATGCACGTTCGATAAAGCGGTACCGCTTCGTCGAAATATTTTACTAAATATATATGTTAATACAGTGTAAAAATGACCAAGTACAAAAAAATGACACCATTTAACATAATTTGTCTCTTGGCACGTTGGTTATGTGCCTCTTTTTGCTTTAAGAGGTCAAAGGTTCAAATCTCACATAGCACGTATTTCTGGCAAATATTTGAGAAAGCCTCTACTAAGGCTATTTCTTGTTTAGAAGTATGATCATTGAAATTATTTACGTTCTTCTATAAATGTTGACACCGGTATAAAACTCTTGTGTACGCCCTTGGGTGTCGTTCTTGATGTTGTTTATCTGTTGCAACAGGGTTGACATTTGATCTTATTCATGTTTTTCCTAAAATACCATGTTGTATTTTTTATGAGATGTTAGTTGAATTTGACGTACCATCACATCCCTGTTATTACACTGTATTTGTAAAATAAATTCTGGAAATATAAATGAATATAAACAGTAATGAATATAAACAGAAATGACATAAACCAATTCGAGCCCACTGAATTCACAGTGTTTCCTTAAGGAATTTAATCCCCTCCTAGTACCCAAGGTTATGGATTATTTCCTCCCAGGATAGAACGAATTACACACTGGTGTAGTGGTACTTCAAACCCCAGTGTTTCAGCGAACACAAAGTTCGGTAGCAAATCACACTTACTTTTTGCTTTGTTTTGATGCTAAAAGTATGCAGAAGAAGGAGAGGAACTCAGAAAATTGTAGTTAAAATTCTGAGCAGAATAGTGTTGTATTTATAGCCAAAGTTGGGTCTCTTCAGAATGGCTGTTTATGCAAAACGCCCACAACATAAATGCCATTACATAAATGGCCATTTACTCAATAATAAAGAGGGAAAATAAAGAGGAAAAATTGAAGAGGGTAGTTACTTTTCTGTTACCAAAACAGAAAAATGGATCCGAATCCGAAGCCGAAGCCGAAGCCGAGCGAGCGACGACGACGGCGGCGCGAGGCTTGCCTTCTTCTCAACTCTTTAAGAGCTAGAAGAAGAGCAATTGCTTATATACCCATAAAAAACCTCTTCCTCTTCCAATATGGGACAATGCCCATTTGCCAAGGGAGGGGGAACTTAAAATTTCACTCAAAAATTTCATTTCCCTCCATTTCCCATTCACCCTCTTTTAAGTATTTAATATATTAATTAAATACCTTAAAAACCCAACAGTTTGAGTTAGCAATTTATTCAATTAGGAAAGCTATACACGGGGGAGGAGCTAGCCCATCAGCTACTGGTTCGGCTGAACTTAGTAGCTTTGGTCCAAACTCTGTATTCATATTATGAAATTCATTAAATACGTACTAATTATTAATTTAGAGTTCAATAACTTAAAAGGATTAAAAAATTGAACCCATAACCTTCAAATCCTAACTCTGCCTCTGCCTATACAGAATATATACTGATCTCCTCATCCACTACCGTTTGATCACGCCCAGCAAGACTCTAATAAAAGAGACTAAGCGGTTGCCGTAACCATATCCAGCTAAAGAGTCCTTAGTCAAATTCCATAGAAAACCATCGTTCAACTATAACTATTTTATATTACTAGGAGAATAAGTTTAACCAATTTTCGAGTTAAAAAATTGTGATTGTTTTAACTAAGTAACTAACAACTATTAAAAACATTAAAACTATCGACTGCAGGGAGTAAAATAATATTCAACAGTAAAAAGCCTAGGATTGTAACCTCAATTATCGGGGTGAATGCCTAACGTGTTCATTATAATCTCTTTGAGTTATTCTCCACCGATTGTAAGCTCTCTTGTTACCACAATTATCTCTCGATCAAAATTAATTTTCTAGAATTATTCTCTCGAACTAACTCTAGCTAGCAATTCGAATAACTCACAAAGATCGCGTTAAAGATTCATTATCTCTAATCCACTTTTAAATCCAAGCAATTAATCTCTTAACTACTTAGAACAACAACAACAACAACCCAGTAAAATCTCACTAGTGGGGTCTGGGGAGGGTAGTGTGTACGCAGACCTTATCCCTATTCCGAAGGAGTAGAGAGGTTGTTTCCGAAAGACCCTCGGCCTCTTAACTACTTAGAAATGATGTTGTTTAATAGTAACATAATCCTACAATCTCTCTCAAGCAATACAAGATATAATGTTATATTTAATCAATGGCCATTCAATTAACTACAAGCAAAACGTAGTTAAATAAGTATATTATAAATATAACTCAATCATAAATAAACACTGCCGATAATTCACCCAACAATTGATCCCATCAAAAACTTAGATGAGAAGTTTAGCTACTCATAATTTCATTCGAAGACAAAATACTAGAATTCATATACCAACAAGAACGAATGAAAAAACAGAGAAACTCGTAAGCCGAATTCCAATGGCCTTCGCTCCTCGTATGTTTCTTACCTTCAAAGTGGTGTCTCCTCCTTCGTAAGGACGTTTTATGGTGCTTATATAAGACCTAGGGAATGTAGGAGGCCGCTCTAACCAATCCCAAGTTGGCTAGGAAAACCTGTAGCGCAGGTCTATGACTCATGCGAGGCGAGCCCGGGAAAACATCTACTTCCATGCTTCTAAATGTAGGTATCGTGGCCCCCAGGGCGTAGCTCAAGTGGCAAAGGGTGGAAGATTTACGTCTTAAGTCACAGGTTTAAGCCCCCACGCTATGCAAAGCAAAGCCTGGTATTTAAGTGGAGAAGGGTAGAGAAAGCGGGCCCATTATCCATCGAGTTTCAAAGGCTGCGGTTGGTCCAAAGAATCGGCCCCAGACGAATTTCTCGGTCATAAAAAAAAAATGCAGGTATCGTGATAGGGCTCGCCTTGCTTTCACTTCACTGTTTTGCATGGCTGCTGAAACCTCGTGGAGGTCAAGCCTGCTCGTGACGCGAGCAAGGCATACGTTCGACTCTCAACTTCCTTTTTTCTTATTTTCTTTACTCAAACTTGCGCCTAATCATTTATTTTTATTTCTCTTTCATCCAAAATACTTGCTACACACGTTAGACATGTAATTAACTCAAAATACCCTAATAACAATGCAAATCACTATAACTTCGCTCTAGATATGAGGCAAAAATATACTAAAAATATGAACTTTAGCCGAATATCAACTACCATTATTAATTTTTTAGCAGAAAAAGAAATTAAGTATGTAGAACACATAACACAAAGGCTAGAAGTTGCTTCATCTTGTCAATCGCTGTTCCTAATTGTAAATTAGGAAATTAGATTTTCTATATTGATAATTATTGGTAGGTTATCTTTAAATATGTAGACATGAATGTAGTAAGTTTGTGGATGATAATTGAGGAAAATATTATAAAATAAAAATTAAGTATTCAATGGCTGAAGCTAGGGGATGCCAACAATGCCTACTTCTTTGCTAACTAAAAGAGCATGTATGATCAAGATAAAATTATAACCCTAGCAATTGTCAAGGGAGACATAATGCAGACCTTTGAGGGTATTGAGTAGGAAGTGATTGGGGGTAGCACCCTGCGAATTCGGGCTAAGTTTGAACTCATTAAATGCCTGTGGTTAAACCCGAACTATGGTAATTGATGTGTAATTACATGAAAAAAAATCAATATCTAAGAACGTATAAAGTGTACAAAATATTTGGAGTTAAAAAGAGCTGAAAAGAAGCAAAGTTGGAAAATTGGATCAAGATATGGCTGACTTACGGACCGTGTGTTTGACATGCGGGCCGTATGTCAAGCCATGTGTGGGGTCCTAAATAACCACTTAAAGTTGGAGAAATTTCAAGTCTTTGAAATTGAATTATGGAGCCACTTACGTACCATATAACCCGTATATCCACCGTCGGTTGAAAGTACCGAAAGATAGAAAAGTCGGGTTGGACCGTATGTGTGACATATGGGCCGTATATTAGTCGTATCAGCCGTATATGAAGTGTATATCCACCACAATAGGCTCCAGGAGTTGACATATGACCAACATACAGACCATATGTTGAAAATGACAGAAACTCTGTAAATATGAGAATTTTTGAGATTTCAAATTCTATTTTGTTCTGCCCGACTTTTTGAGGAGAAAGACACCCTAGGACTTCTCCAAATCATATAACTGAATTGCTAATCAATCCCCATGGATATTTCATCAAATTAACAAGTATTAACACTAGATTAACATCTACATCCTCTTATTATTTAAAATCAACTCGAGATCGTTTGAAGAGAAATTTTTGGGTTTCGAGAGGTAAGTCCCTTGATTACTTGTAGCTTTTATAGGGTGAATTGGGGTTCGTGTGGCCTATAGAAAGATATTAGAATGTTGGATGGTTCGTGAATTGTCAAGAACATGAATTTTAATCTTAAACCCTAGTTTTTCGAAAAGGGTGAGAATTCATAAAATAGGATCAAAGATCTAAACTTTATCATAAGTGATTGTAAAGCGATTGTTGAAAGTTGGAAATCGAATTTAGGAGCGTCATTAGCGGATTTGAGGTATTGCTCCTTGAAAATGCTTTTTAATATAAAGTATGTCTCTTTTGAAAATTCTTTTCAACTACATAAGTATTTGAACTACACTTTTTGCACATGGACAAGCTCGCATCGAGTCTCGTATTTTGATTATGTTGTATGCTATACATATGTATATATGAGGTACCTTATACATGAGTTATTAATTTTGAACCTGAACTACGAACTTTTGAACATGATTTTTTGAACTAAGGTATAGCTTTCTGAAATGCTCTTGTTAAAAGAATAATGACCATGCACAATTCGGCTACTATGCCACGACCAATGAAAGGACATAAATGATACACTGAACTTGTGTGGGCCTGTGCTGGCATAGTTTGGGCCTATATTGGTAGTGATTCAAGGCCTGTATTGGCAAATAGCTCTGACCTGTATTGGCATGAACTGAGCTTGTGTATTAGCACAACTTGGCTTGTATTTGGCATAATGGAACTTTCGGACATAACGAATGTGAACTGGATAATTCTTTACTGTTGATTTGTACTAACTACATGATTTATTCCGCATATACTCAGATATACCATTATTGTTTTTGATGGTATGTTAGGTGGTAATGAAGAAGAGCTGGTACACGTAAATCGAACGGGCTAGGAGTACTTGTTGCTTTCGAGTTGTTGGTGAGTCTACATCCTTGCTCTTGGGGCTCCATTAAGTCATTTATTGTTTCTTACTGTATTAGTTTTGAGATGTGTTCTGAATTAGATTGTTTTTCTTAGAAGATCCATAGACAAGCGTCATATTGTGGGTAGTGTTGTGCAAGTCTTTGCTTAGCTTGTTTTTGAGTTTTGGAATTGTTAAATTCTAGCTATTTAAATAATTTTATTTAGACTTATCTCATCTTTCTTATAACTTAATGACTTATTAAAAGAACATGATTTCATTTTATAAGGTGCTTCCAATATGGCCCCTTTAGCATTGTTTCGCTAGAGTCGGGTTTGAGGCGTAACGGCCAAAACTTACTTCAATGGAAAGCTCTTTACAAGAGCTATCAATTTATGTAAGAGTTGGGCCGCTTATCAGTGGCCGGATTTTGGTCAACCGGCGTTTGACCGGTCGGAGCTGTCTGGAGATTCCTTCTGTCTTTTCTTTTGAGTTCGTTAGGTAATCCTTGTCCCTTTCTTCTTTGTTCCTCTCTATCCTTTTGATAATTAGAAATTAGGTTTAGTTGTTCTTCCGATTTTATCACTGATTAGTTTTAAAACTGAATTATTCAATTGTCGACTCGTTTAATTCGTATTTTTCATGTTAGTTCATTTTTTGTTGTTTGTCTCTTGGATCCAGATTTTATTTGGTAGTACTTTATTTTGGTTTGTGTATTTTGTCATTAGTTGAGTAAATTAGATTTCACTTTGTTTAATCAGTGTGTACCTTGCAATTTTGGCATAAATTGGAGTTTTGGGATTTTTGTTTTATGTTTTTTTGTCAAAGCGATGAAGAGGGTTTTTGGGTGTTAAAGTGGGTGAAATTCAAAAATAGCCAGATTTACAACCGGTCGTTCAAAAATAGCTCAGTTTCAAAAGTAATCAATATTTAGCCACTTTTCATGTAAAGATAAATTTGAGCGAAAACACTGTTCAAAACCCGAAAAAATACGCCAGTATATTATGCTGGAGTTCCAGCATAAGTATACTTGAACTCCAGCATATTATACTGGAGTTCCAAGATAAGTATATTGGAACTCCAGCATAATATGATGGACTTCCAGTATAAGTACACTAGAACTCCAGCATAATATACTGGAGTTGCAGCAAGTATACCGGTCCAGCATAATATACTGGAGTTTGGAGCACCGGTGCTCCAGTCTCCACTATATTATACTGGAGCCAACAAAGTATACCGGTCCAGCATAATATGCTGAAGTTCATACACAGGTGCACCGAACTCCAGTATATTATGCTGGACCGATCTCTGCTGCAGCAAAATAGTGGTTATTTTTCATTGACTTGGTAAACGCTGGCTATTTTTGAATGACCAGTCCGAAAACTGGCTATACCGTGCTATTTTATCTGTTAAAGCTAGGGATGATCTTGGGCCACAGGCAGGCCCAAGTTTTCTGTGAGTAAAAGAGTTGGGCTTAGGGAATATCCGTTAGAATAGGTAAAAATTGCACGGGGCGCCCTATTTGGTCGCCCCCATTTAACCTATACCCATTTTTTTAAAAAACTTTTAATTTGTACCCACTTTTTAAATAACTTCAGCCCCCTTTCTCCTCCTCCTTCTCCTCCTTAATTTTCTTCTTCAAGTTACAAAACAAACTGGTATTTAACTCCAGAAGCAACGCTGCTTTAGTTATAAGGTCAATTTTTTTTAATTGAACAGTTCGTCAGTTGTACTTCTGCTTCAAATTTACAGCAAATTAGTCTTAGGAAAAAGATTAAGTTACCAGTAGGATGAGCTGTAAAATTTTGGAGTTTTTGTATGTTTATTCGTGTTTGAGCTGAGAAGATGTACACTATTTTTCTTAAAAAATCACTGCTAATTGTGGTGCTTCAGCTCTAGAGCTGAAGTTCGCCAGTTACAAAAACAAAAACTTCGCCAGTTACAAAACAAAAACTTCAGCTCTAGAGCTGAAGTTCGCCAGTTACAAAAACAAACTAGAGCTGAAGTTCGCCAGTTAAAAAACAAAAACTTCAGCTTTAGAGCTGAACTTCAGGCTCGTCTACTAGAATGCTGAAGTTTTGCGTGATTGCCTTTGCTACTTCAGCCCTGTATGCTGAAGTTATGCGAAAAAACGAGTACGCTTGCACTTTTTTTTGCAAAGCGGGCACAAGTTAAAACGTGACACAAAAAATGGGTATAGATGCAAATGCCCCTTAGAATAGTGAGGAAGTTTCTACTTTCTAGAGGTTAGTAGAGGAAAAGAAATAGTAGAAAAGGACCATATAGCAATAAAAGGGGTAAAATAGAAATAAAAAAGGACTGAAAAGAAAGAGAAATAACAGAGAAGATGCATTTTTATACGTTCCCTCTCACACAAGACTCACGCATTCACCGACTGACTATTCACGACCCATTCACTCTCATTCTCTCACCGATACACACACAATACACATTCTCATTCACAGAATTCATTGGCTCTCTCGCTCTCACACCTACTCTCTCACCTACACTTCTCACTCCTTCACAAAGTTGGATACACACTCAATCACACACGTCTGGAAAATGCTGAGAAACAGTTTGAAATTCAACATCTGAGATCCGGAAAACCAAAAAAAGAGAATGAAATTCTAGAAAAACAAAACAAAGGAAGAACACAAGAGTTTTTGGTAGATTACTTTGGAATTTGGATTCAAACAATTCAAAATCGAAGCTGTGGTTGTTTGCTGCTGATTTCGAGTTGATTTTCTTGGGTCTCAAACTTTTCTTCCTCTGGTTTGGGACTGTTGTTTTCTGCTGTTCATCACTGCTGAACTTCATCTTCTGTTCAGACCTCTATTTAGTTTTTGATTGTTGTTTAGGTATGTTCAGATGTCTCTGCTGTTGTTGTTTGAATCTTAAATGAAAATTCAATTTGTTTATGTGCTGATTCTGTTCCACTTCACAGATTTGTCATGTGTAATTGTTGATCTGTTTCGATTTACTTTCTCTGTTAAGTTCTGAAACTATTATGTTCTAAATCTGTTCTAATCCTTAGATTCATCATGTGTATCTGTTAGTGTAAGTTTTAGTATTTGAATTGATTAATTGTCGATAAATAGAATAACACTTCCTAATATCGATCGTTTAGTTTATGAGGTTGATGTTTCATGTTCAAATGATATTGACAGGTTAGACTGGTCCTAATTTGTTGTTATTTTGATAACCAACGCTCATGGCTAATCTAGTTCCCCAGGATAATCCAGTGGCTCGGTTTTCCTTGTAAATTAGAAGATCGCTGGATTTTTTGAAAGCTAAAATTGGCTAGTACTGTAAGGGATGTCACTATAATGTTTATTCATGGTTAGTGTAGCAATGAACTTGAACACTTCCGATTGCTGGCTATGTATGTAATAAACTGAATAATTTCCTAGTTCATTCTTGCTGAAATCAAAAGTGATTGTTGGGCCCTGTCAAATAAGAACACTAAGAACTGATTTTTTTTTTGGGATTTTTACATACCTATACACTATTAAAAACTTTATTACGAAAAATATCCATGTTTTGGTATTTACCCGACCTAACCACATTTTAATTATAAAATATATACAATCCACCTTAAAAGGCTCGCAATTCATTATTTGTGCCTTCAATCAAGGGATTTAATTACACCATTTTCCTTTTTTCTCTCCTCTCTCCCCTCTTCTCTTCGGGTTAAACTTATATTTAGGGATTTAAAGAATCTAATCTCTCAGATCTCGATACGGTCTCTTACAGTGTCTATTCTTTCCTTTTCTTTTAACATTTTTCCTTTCCTTTTAATTTCTCGAACTGGATGTTTAATTCTATCACGTGGTATTAGAAGGAAAATTTATGTATTTGTATAACAGCGGGAAGAACATATATTTTCTTTCTTCCCACGCCTAAAAATTCAGCACTTTAGTTTGCCTAATTTTGGCTTTGGAAGTCAACCTATTCTGGCTTTGGAGGAACGAAACTTTAATTATTGTAATTTAGAAGATGCACAAATTTTCATTACTACCTTTCATTTGACCAACGAGATCAAGATCAGGCACAACGTTTGTTTAAATTTATTTTGAAAAACTTGTTTTGCTTCAAGAAGAAGAAAGTACTGTTAAACCTTCACATTTTCGTCAATGTTCCAAAAAATATTTTACCAATCAAATGAGAAGAAAGCTTTTTTTGTGTTTCGCTAGCATTAATTTATCAAGTGATTCTATTTATACCACGCGGTATGTAACTTTTCTAATCGTGTAACGACCAGATTAGTCGTTTTGAGCCCTAGCACGTCATTCAACAGTTTGAGGCCCTGAACAGCTTCACTTCAGGTATTATGACTTGTACGCATGGTCATAATTAAATTTCGGGAAGTTTGGAATTTATTTGGAATGAAAATTCTCATTTCAGGAAGCTTTAAGATGGCAGGATTGACTAAGACTGGATTTTTTAGTAAACGATTTTAGAATCGGGATTGAAGGTTCCAGCAGGTTCGTATGATGATTCTGGACTTGGGCGTATGTCCGGATCGGGTTTTGAATGAGCCGGGAGTATTTCGGCGCCTATTGTGGAAGTTAGCATATTTGGAAGAATTTCATAAGTTTGGGTTGAAGTGCCTTTCAGTGTTATCGATGTCCGTTTGGGATTCCGAGTTTGGGAATAACTTCGTATGGTGATTCTGGTATTGGGAGCGCGATCGGAAGTGAATTTGGAGTTCTGTGGGTTATTTTGGAGTCATTTGGCTAAAGTTAGAAATTTGAAGGTTTTTGAGAAGTTTGACCGGAAGTGGACTTTTTGATATCGGGGTTGGATTCCGATTCCGGAAGATGGAGTAGGTCTGTAATGTCGAATATGACTTGTGTGCAAAATTTGAGGCCAATCGGACGTGATTTGATAGGTTTCTGCATCAAATGAAGAAGTTTGAAGTTCTAAAGTTCATCAAGTTTGAATTGGGGCTGGATTCACTATTTTAGCATTGTTTGATGTGATTTGAAGGCTCGACTAAGTTCGTAATGTGTGTTGGGACGTGTTGGTATAATTGGTTAAGGTCCCGAGGGCCCCGAGTGAATTCCGGGTGGTAAACGGATCGAATTTGGACTTAGAAGAAGGGCTGAAGCAGCTGGGCTTCAGGTGTAACTGCACCTGCGAGGTTTTGGCCGCAGGTGCGGTGCCGCAGAAGCGGCCACGAGGGTCGCAGGTGCGATCTAGGCTAGGAGAGCTGGGACCGCAGATGCCGCCATCCCGCCGCAGAAGCGGGACCGTACCTGCGGAAAGAAGGGCGCAGATGCGGAAGTTGACGGGCTGGAGGAAGACCGCAGAAGCGGTCAAGTGACCGCATGTGCGGAAATGCTGGAGGCAGTGAGGTTCTTTAAATCGGGGGTTTGGCTCATTTCAACCCCATTTCTTCCATGGGAGCCGATTTTGGAGCAACTTTGAGGTGCCATTTTCACCACCAAACATGAGGTATGTGGTTTATACTAGTTTGAGTTAAATACATCGATTATGTATATGTTTTAACATGGAAATTAGTAAAAAGTTGGGATTTTGAGGAAAAACCTAGAAATTCGGTATTATTGGATTTTGATCACGATTTTGGACATGAAATTGAGAGTAAATTATATATTTGAGTTCGTGAGGTCATGGGTAAAGTTTATCTTCGAAAAATTTCGGAACCCGGGCACGTGGGCTCGAGGGCGATTTTGTCAACTTTTCAATGCAGAGTTGGGAATTTATATAAATTGAACTGTTATAAGTATTAGGATATATTTTCATTGGGTTGCCCATTATTTGGATAGTTTGGGAGTGTTGGCATCGATTTGAGTCATCCGAAGGACGTGGAATGTCGGTTATATAACTTCGGAGCGAGGTGAGTCTCCTTTCTACCCTTGTAAGAGGGAATCGTTTCCATAGGTGAATTAATTGGATATGTGCTTCTATTTGTGGGGGCTACGTACGTACGAGGTGACGAGAGTCCGTGCGTAGCTACTATTATGCCTATGTCTGGGTAGTCCTAGGTTATATCATGCCTTGATTGATATTGTTGCTTAATTTGTGTTTATTGTTGTTGGAAAAGAAACAAGATTAAGGTTGCGTAATAATTGGGTTGAAAGAAGGAATTTGAGATTTTAAGAGTTTCCATTAAACTTCGTATTTTCAGAAAGAACTGCTAAATATCTAAATAATTTCAGAAACCTATATTTGACCCCATCGCATGTATAATTCGCGAGCGGGGAAGTCTCTTAAATTATATTTGACCGCGTTGCACGTATGATTCGCGAGCGAGGTAGTACCTTTTACTACTCTCATGGGAGCGGGCCCATCACCTCGGCATGTTTATAGATGCATCTATGGTTCGCGCCATGCGACCCTCTGGCGGTGCACAATTTATTTTTATGTTGGATCGGGCGGTACGCCTCGGCATTTCCTACATATATATATATATATATATATATATATATATATATATATATATATTATACTCTTGGAATCGTGCGTAACACTTGGCCAGAAGCCAGTGTATCTGAGGGATTTTCCTAGATTTGAATCATGATAACTTCCTTGACGGAAAACCACTATAATTGTACACATATGCTTCGGTTATGGAGGGAACTTGCTAGCTGAAAACTTGAGCAAAATTATGAAAAATGGGGATGGTATTATATGTTTTATACATGTTTATTTCATATATTTGCCCTGTTTCATACTTATTCCTTTTTTTACTGTAAAGATATTATTGGACCATTAGTAAGTGTCGAAGTTGACCTCTCTTCACTACTTCTTCGAGATTAGACGGGATACTTACTGAGTACATATTTTTGTACTCATGCTACACTTGTTGTGCATTTTTGTTGCACTGGCACATATACCTCTAGGGGCCTAATGGGCGTAGTAGCATGGATGATATAGAGACTTAGGCGAGCTGCATGTCTCGAGGCGACCGCAGCCAACATAGTCTCTTTCATTGTATTGTATTTACTTTCTGTCCAAATTTGTATTTTGGACAGTTATTGTACTTCATTTGATTTCTTAGTGATTGCTCACGCACTTGTGGCACCGGTTTCTGGGATGATTTCGGGGTTATTCAGTAAATAAATGTTGTGAAAACATCATTATTTATTCAGTGAAGTTTATTATTCATTGTTTAATGTTTAGAAGAAATTATTTAAAAATATTAAAATGAAAATTTACTAGGTATATGGTGTTGGCTTGCCTGACAGTGGTGTCCGGCGCCATCACGACCCTTGGTGGATTTTTGGTCGTGACAACATGGTATCAGAGCACTAGGTTCCCTTAGGTCTGACGAGTCATGAGCGAGTCCAGTAGAATCTTGCGGATCGGTACAGAGACGTCTGTACTTATCTTTGAGAGGCTATAGGTCTATTAGGAGCACTTCCTTTCTTGATTTCCTCATCGTGTGATTTGATCCCTTGAGGCTTATGCCTTCATTTCCTTTCCATTCAATCTTATGCGACGCGAAGAGCTGGTTATAAATCGGAAAGTGAGTAATTGTAATGATACTACAGATGTGGTGCGGGATGTTTCTCCCTGCGTGGTTGGTTGGGCTATTGTTGCCGCCTTGCGGACGGATATTCTGCCGTTTCAGCTCAGTAGCTGTAATTCTGAGAGCTTTGAGGCTATGCACAAGTTGCTATGGTGCTTATGAACGGTTACCGCGCAGTAATGATGTGATGGTAGGATGCTTGCCTGTGCGTCGGGGCAGTGAATGACTTGATGGAAGGTTTACTCAATGCACGATTCAGAGATTCAGTGTTTTATTTTCGACGGAGGAAAGACAATCAGACTATGTATGTTCAGGTTGGGTTGATGGAATAACGAGACTGGTGTTTTCAAGTGCGGTGGAATTTTCATCTGCGACGTGGTGTCGTCGTCCTCGATTGAATGTGTCAAGTTTGCTGGTGTTATGATCTTCTTCAATTCGCCTCTGGGCAGGGTATTGTGAAATGGTGTCGGGAAAACGGCTGTTAGAGATCGTGGTGTGCGGTGGTTCAGGATTGAATCGGTATTTCTAATGTCGACGGCTCGGGGAAGACGATATTTGGAAGGGTTTAAAGTTAGTGGCGATCTATTTGTTCAGGTGCTACAGAGATAGATTTTTATTTAAGGCAACAACTGGGCAGCGAAGGATGAGGAAGGACACGTGGGGAGTGTTTTGTGGTGACTAAACTTCTAGAAGGCCAAGTGTGGGAAGTAGGAGTCGAGTATTTGCTTAAAAGAGTGAGTTTGGCCAAAGTGGGAGAGTGACAGAGTAACATATGGGTTCAGTGGCAAGATAACTACTCACCTTGAGGAAAAGTTAGAGTAATTTTGGAATTTTAGTGGACGATGATTGGGTCCACGGGCTTAATTTGAAATATTGGTTATTATACGGCGGGAGATTGGATGCAACAGAAAGGGAGTTGCTTGATATGAAGAAGGATTTAATATAACTTTGAA